AGACACCTTCTTCTTGGGAGGAAAGCGATGACAAACCTCGACAGCATCTTAAAAAGCAGAGACATCACTTTGCCAACAAAAGTTCGAATAGTCAAAGCTATGGTTTTCCCTGTAGTGATGTATGGAAGTGAGAGCTGGACCATAAAGAATGCTGACCGCTGAAGATGTGATGCTTTTGAATTGTGGTACTGGAGGAGGCTCTTGAGAGTCCTCTGAACTGCAAAGAGAACAAACCTATCCATTTTGAAAGAAATCAACCCTGAGTGCTCACTGGAAGGACAGATCCTGAAGCTGAGGCTCCAGTACTTTGGCTATCTCATGAGAAGAGGAGACGCCCTGGAAAAGATCCTGATGTTGGGAAAGGGATGAGATTATTGGACTGTGTCACCGAATCTACCAACATGAATTTGACCCAACTCCAGGAGGCAGTGAAAGACAGGAGGGCCTGGCGTGTTCTGTTCCATGGGGTCACAAAGAGTCAGACACGACTTAACGACTAAACAACAAGCTAATATTTATGTTTTGTTCAATTTTATCTTATATTATTTATATGCTGCTTTTCTCCCCATAAGGGACCCATAATAGACAGTATAAGTTTAGTGTTTCCATGGAATATTTGCAATTAGATTATTATTGCTACTTTTCTGATTTCTTCCTCTAGGATAAAGATAGAAGAATGAAGACCTTTGCAAATATTTGCATCTTTTTTTCTGTCTTCGATGCCATTATAGCGGCTCCTACAATGAGCTCTGTAATATATGATTCTGAAACATACGATATTGCTTTGGAAGATCTGGATAGCCTATACGACTATGATGAAAATCTATCCGTTGATCAGGCACAGGTAATTACTGAATTATGCATTTTTCCTTTGTGTATCATATAACCACAGGGGTTTTTTTTAGATCTTTGAGTGAGTGGAGGAGAGAGCAAGATGTAGGTTCCATTATATAGCTTACATTTTTATTGCTTTTAATGAACTCAACATATAATTCACAGTCAGCATTTTATATGTTTCCAGTAGCCTCTCATTCCAAGAAGAGTCTCATTAGATAATCACTAGGGCCTGACAGAATACTAGGAGAACTTGAATCAAGCAAGTTATCCTTTGTTTCCCATGTTGACACCATGGCAACTGGCACTGGCTCATCTGCTGATATCCCTATGTAAGAGCAATCACACAAACATTCCTCCAACCCCAGCAAGCTTTCCTTCACATAACTGGTTACACATTGGTTTCAAAATCTGGTGCATGACCAGCCACACAAATGACAGCCAACAGAAGAAAGAAAAACACCATGTAATTGTCCTTGCATGTAAATTTTTTGTAAATAAGTTGTTGTCCATGTCTTTTACATGGTTGGAATTTTAGCAGTAATGGATAAATAATTATTTTGACAACTATTACAATATTTTCATGAACTATCAATTTCTTAAAAGCATATTTGTTCCTCATAAGTTTATTATTTGTGCTACTATCTTACCAGCTAAATTACATAAGACCTGAATCTATTTGACAGTGTCAAGGAGATTGAATTAATGGGAATTCAATGCACACACATTGATTCATCATTCGGCAATTGATTCAACAGGTCTGCCATAGTTGGGACTAGCAACTGGATTCAGGTATAGGTCTCTTTGAACTAGAATCTTTCCTGACAGGCTTTGGAATCAGTTTATTATTTGATGTAGCTAGAGTCTTTTTTTATTCTATATTTTTTCCCTTAAATTCCTTATGAAAATCTTACTTACATCCATCTAGCTTCCTGGAGTCTCATTCCTTTTTGACATCAATTGTCATACAATTCTCTTTCATGACAGATTCTCTCAGCATTGGCTTGTACATCTCTTAGAATTTCACATTCACCAAACTCCATGGACCTCTTGATGAATCGCCTCCTAACATGTCCCACATTTTTTTTTCTGTTAGACTATGACCAAGGACAAGTTTTCCATCTGTGTGTGTTTGTTTTGTTGAATGTTCTCTACTTCTGCAATTCTTAGTGACATGATTGGATGGAAATCTGGCCCTTAATGGGTTCAGATGCATTCAGAGCTCACTCTGACTCCCAGGGCCAAACTGACATTTGGATCGAGAGCCCAGGGCACTGCCTCTGAGTGGGCACCTGCCAGAAGAGGAAGGGCAAAGGATCCCAGGGTGCCTGTGGAACAGCTGTGCAGCTGAACCACAGTTTGTGCCCATACATAAAATATGTGTGCCTAATGCTGTTGCACCTCACAGGTTACCCTGTGCTCTATTCAGGACAGCCTATGATGAAATTTCCACCTGAGGTGGAAAGACCAGCAGACCCCTGGTATCAGATAGTGGCTACATCAGTGTACACCCACACAGCTGTTGCCAGTATACACTACAGCACAACCAGCCAACATAGTCCATAAGTGATAGAATGGAGAGAATTGGTAGTGGCAGAAGGTAGGTGCAGCTACACTGGGACCTTCACACTGTTGAAGGAGGAGATGGAAGCTATGGCTGTAGCGCTTACAGAGACCAGGTCTACACGAAGGTGTCTCTTTGCCATGATTTCCCGACTCTGAGGAGTCCCCAGAATCAAGGGGCTATGTCTGGGAAACTTCCTTTGCTGCAGCATGCGCAGTTTCTCAAATCAGTCCTCTCTGAGAAAAAAATTGAAGAAAAATAGTTTACTCTGGAGAGGTGAGAATGATGACATCTTCAAAGCACCACTGGCCCTCCTCAGTAGGGTGGAGCACCTTATTCATTGTCTCCAGCACCACACTTCTCAAGGGCCTCATGTAGCTGGCTTTGGCTGTGCTCTATGCCAGTAGCACAGGGACTGCACACAGCTCCTGAAAGGGTTTGAATACCATCTGTTGCAAGGACTTTTGTACAGCAGAATTTATCCGAGCTGTGAATGATGTCTTGGACAAAGATGGAGAGGCAATTTAAAATGCATCATGCATGTACAAGATCTTGGTTTTCATTGTGAACTGGATTGAAACCAGGAGATATGATACTACTCCACTTTGTCATACATCTGAGCATTATGTGCTGGTGAAAGGTATTTTACGAGCCAGGTGATATGAACTTTAGTAGCATCTGAAAAAGTTTAATAGTGAAAACCTGAAATATGTAGGCATAAAACCGAATTGTGGGAAAATCTTAAGGAAAAGTTGGAGAACTTGATCTCTGACACCTTGAGGACAATATACATATTTTATGGACAGCTTATAGAAGAACATCTGGCTATATTATGCAAGGTGCTTATGAAAGGGAAATAAGATCCTAAAAGAGAATGAACATTTGCTTTTCTCATATAGTGAAGATACTGCTTTTATTTCTTTGATTTTAAATTTAAATTGGTGTCTAGGATATTTTCATAGTGTCTTTTTCTCACATGGGCATTCTTTATAAAAATGAAGACAAATCCCATAAATCTACTGTTTTATATTGTCAGAAAATGTGTATGAATGCTCTGTATTCTGTTTCCTTCCTCTCAGATGTGATATGTTGCTGGTATCATTCAAATGCTAAGAAAATTTTAGGGTTTACCTGCAGATTTGCAAGGATGAGGTGATGAATTCAACTTCTGAAACCATCCATTCTACATTGCTCTATAGTATCATTGTCATCCTACCAGACAGACAGCTGCCAGATCGACAAATAGAAGTCCATATTTCCTTTATAAATTCTGTTTCCTCCTCTAAGGAGAATACTATGCTAGAAAGTCCTAGAAATTTACAGTTCTGCAGAATTCTATAGATGAGATAAAGTATTGGCTTAAATTCCTCCTTTTGCTTCCAAGTTCTAGGAACTTTATGAAAGATTAAGTCCTAAAGGACCTTATTGTTCTAAGAGACTTTAGGAAAGAAAAGATGTCATTCAGGCAAATAATTGGTGTGTCTGTTTCTAAGCAGAGACAACAGGAAAAAGGAAATGCTAAAAGAAAATAAACAAGAGAACAAGGAAGAGATGGTTAGGTCCAGAAGGAGAAATAGACTAGGAAGGAGTGCGATTCCAGGGTTATGTTCATTTTCATTTCTGAACTCTGTTTCAAAACTACAAAATATAATTTCAGCTCAGGCTTCAAATGCATAATATAAAAATTGTGCACATAATTTACTAATAATCAACAGAGAATGAAGTGGTCTGTAACAGATGGAATGTAAACTAGATGTTCTTTTAAAATTTGGGATAATTATTATGCTGCTTGATCCTCATGTCTCTCATAATGTGGTTTGTTGCTGTTATTTAGATAGGCAGACTGAACAATGTAGGAACCCATAATGATTTATTAGCATTTAAGCCTTTTCAGAATATGATAGTGTGAGCTCCCAGTTTCACACTTTTGAACAATATGTAGAAAGGGGGAAACACTTTTCTAATAGCAACCACAGATCTATCTATGTATAGAATGCAAGTAGCAGTTACTGGCATTTATTATGCATACACATACAGGTATCTGGATATGCACTGATTAGAAAACTTACTGATTTTTCCCTGTGTAAGCCCTGCCAGCCCTGTCCACTTCCATGGGGTGTCCCTCTTCCATTCTTTGGTCCACAAAAACATGACACAAATTATCAGACTCAATGGGATTTTTGTAGCTTGTATGGCAGAATAATTTAATAAATAACTTCATCAAGAGTCTTTGGTTCTAGTTACATCCTCTAGCCCCTTCACGGATTGCTGCGTTGTCATGGCGAAGGGGCTTGAGTAATTCAGAGAAGCTATGGGCTATGCCGTGCAGGGACCCCCAAGACGGACAGGTCATAGTGGAGAGTTCAGACTAAACGCAGCCCACCTGGAGCAGGAACTGGCAAGCCACTCCAGTATCTTTGCCAAGAAAACTCCATGGACAGAAATAAAAGGCTAAAAGATATGATGCTGGAAGATGAGCCCCTCAGGTCGGAAGGCGTCCAGCATGCTACTGAGGAAGAGCAGAGGACAAGTACAAGTAGCTCTGAGCTAATGAAGTGGTTGGGCCAAAACTGAAAGGACAGCCAGCTGTGGACGTGCCTGGAAGTGAAAGGAAAGTCCGATGCTGCAAAGAAAAATACTGCATAGGAACCTGGAATGTAAGATCTATGAACCTTGGGAAGCTGGATGTGGTCAAACAGCAGATGGCAAGAATAAACATTGACATCCTGGGCGTCAGTGAACTAAAATGGATGGGAATGGGCGAATTCAATTCAGATGATCAGCATATCAACTATTGTGGGCAAGAATCCTCTAGAAGAAATGGAGTAGCCCTCATAGTCAACAAAAGAGTGGGAAAAGCTGTATTGGGATAGAATCTCAAAAATGATAGAATGGTTTCAATATGAATCCAAGGCAGATCTTTCAACATCACAGTCATCCAAGTTTATGCACAAACCACCAATGCTGAAGAGGCTGAAATAGACCAGTTCTATGAAGACCTACAACACCTTCTA